GTCCGGGCCGGGCCGGCGCCGGCTGCTGGCCGTGCTGTGAGGCGGCGGGGTCCCGCGGCCGCCGCACCCGCCTTCCTCTCGCCCAGGTGCTGCCAGGCGTGCTCGCCCTTCGTCCGGCTCCCTGACTCCGGTGGAACGCACGGCCTGCCCCTGCGCTGTTCCGTCTGTATCATGCGGGGGACCCCGGAGGAGGAAAGGGCGAGTGACTGGCCTGCGCCGACTGTGTTCGGGGGGCGCCCCCCTCTCTGAGGCGCCCCCACCTGCTGCCATGTGCCGCCGCCAAGGGTACCCAGCCTGTCGCTAAACTTTCCCGGCGCGGGCCCGGCTCTGAGTCGCTTTTCTGAGCGGAGTGTCCCAGGGACGGAGGACCCAGGCTGGCTGCAGATTATCTGTTCCTCTCGGCGGGATCCGCAGAGGTGAGAGCCCGCGCCTTCCCTTCTCCCGGGTCTTCGCCCGATTCCTCTGCCCTTTCCCGGCCGGGGGGCTGAGCGCTGTGACCCCGAGGCGCACAGTCTGGAAGGCCCAGCCAGTCAAGGGAGGGTGTCGGGACTCAGCAGTTTGGTTCCAGGAGGTGGAGGGAGCGGGGTTAACTTAGAGATTTTGGAGACCGCTTGCGAGGACCGAACCGTTGACGCCCCTCCACTAGGAAGTGGTTGCAATTTTTCTCCCCCCCCCCCCTTCTTTTTTAAAGAGTCCTTTCCCTGGATTTGGAGCCCTAACCGTTCCTCCCCAGCCTTATCCGGCGAGGTGCTGAGCGCTGCCAGCGGAGGCAGCGCCTTCCCGAAGCAGTTTGTTTTTGGACGGATTTCTTTAAGAGAAAAAGAAACCAACAGGTTGCTAGCCCCGGCGCCGCACAAGAGACGCCGGAGAGGCAAGCCCCGGCCCCGGATTCCTCGGGCTGCCTTGGCCCCTCGCGGGCTGCGGGAGGCGGGGAGGGAGGGGGCGATGGCTCGGCCTGACCCGTCCGCTCCGCCTTCGCTGCTGCTCCTGCTCCTGGCTCAGCTGGCGGGCCGGGCGGCGGCCGCTTCCAAGGCCCCGGTGTGCCAGGAAATCACGGTGCCCATGTGCCGCGGCATCGGCTACAACCTGACGCACATGCCCAACCAGTTCAACCACGACACGCAGGACGAGGCGGGCCTGGAGGTGCACCAGTTCTGGCCGCTGGTGGAGATCCACTGCTCGCCCGATCTGCGCTTCTTCCTATGCTCCATGTACACGCCCATCTGCCTGCCCGACTACCACAAGCCGCTGCCGCCCTGCCGCTCGGTGTGCGAGCGCGCCAAGGCCGGCTGCTCGCCTCTCATGCGCCAGTACGGCTTCGCCTGGCCCGAGCGCATGAGCTGCGACCGCCTCCCGGTGCTGGGCCGCGACGCCGAAGTCCTGTGCATGGATTACAACCGCAGCGAGGCCACTACGGCGCCCCCCAGGCCCTTCCCGGCCAAGCCCACCCTCTCAGGCCCTCCAGGGGCTCCGGCCTCGGGGGGCGAGTGCGCCGCCGGGGGCCCGTCGGTGTGCAAGTGCCGCGAGCCCTTCGTGCCCATCCTGAAGGAGTCGCACCCGCTCTACAACAAGGTGCGGACGGGCCAGGTGCCCAACTGCGCGGTGCCTTGCTACCAGCCGTCCTTCAGCCCGGACGAGCGCACGTTCGCCACCTTCTGGATCGGCCTGTGGTCCGTACTGTGCTTCATCTCCACATCCACCACCGTGGCCACCTTCCTCATCGACATGGAACGCTTCCGCTACCCTGAGCGCCCCATCATCTTCCTCTCAGCCTGCTACCTGTGCGTGTCGCTGGGCTTCCTGGTGCGCCTGGTCGTGGGCCACGCCAGCGTCGCCTGCAGCCGCGAGCACAGCCACATCCACTACGAAACGACGGGCCCCGCGCTGTGCACCGTCGTCTTCCTGCTGGTCTACTTCTTTGGCATGGCTAGCTCCATCTGGTGGGTCATCTTGTCGCTCACCTGGTTCTTGGCGGCTGGCATGAAGTGGGGCAACGAGGCCATCGCGGGCTATGCTCAGTACTTCCACCTGGCCGCCTGGCTCATCCCCAGCGTCAAGTCCATCACGGCGCTGGCACTGAGCTCCGTGGACGGGGACCCGGTGGCCGGCATCTGCTACGTGGGCAACCAGAACCTGAACTCGCTGCGCGGCTTCGTGCTGGGCCCGCTGGTGCTCTACCTGCTGGTGGGCACGCTCTTCCTCCTGGCGGGCTTCGTGTCGCTCTTCCGCATCCGCAGCGTCATCAAGCAGGGCGGCACCAAGACGGACAAGCTGGAGAAGCTCATGATCCGCATCGGCATCTTCACGCTGCTCTATACGGTGCCCGCCAGCATCGTGGTGGCCTGCTACCTGTATGAGCAGCACTACCGCGAGAGCTGGGAGGCCGCCCTCACCTGCGCCTGCCCGGGCCCCGACGCCGGCCAGCCGCGCGCCAAGCCCGAGTACTGGGTGCTCATGCTCAAGTACTTCATGTGCCTCGTGGTGGGCATCACGTCGGGCGTCTGGATCTGGTCCGGCAAGACGGTGGAGTCGTGGCGGCGCTTCACCAGCCGCTGCTGCTGCCGTCCGCGCCGGGGCCACAAGAGCGGCGGCGCCATGGCCGCCGGGGACTACGCCGAGGCGAGCGCGGTGCTCACCGGCAGGACCGCGCCTCCCGGCCCCGCCGCCGCTGCCTACCACAAGCAGGTGTCCCTGTCGCACGTGTAGGAGGCCGCGGCCTGCCGAGGGACCCGGGCCGGAGAGCTGAGGGAGGGGGATGTTTGGTTTGGGAGCTTTGCCAAGGTCACTTCCGTTTACCTTCAAGGTGCTGAGGCCCCTCCCGGGGCAGCTTGGAGAGGGAAAATGGGCAGTTCCCAAGGAGTACCTGTCCCAGCTCTTCTCAAAGGGACTCAGCTGACGTGTACTCTATTTTGCGTTTCTTACTGCCTTCTTTAGGAGAACCCTGTTTTTAATTTATATGTATTTTTAACTTGGTTGCATTTTGGCAACAAAATTTACCTTTGCTTTGGGGGCTTTACAATCCTAAGGTGATGAAGTTCCACTTGGTTCAGGTTTCTTTGAACTGTGTAGTCTAAATTGGGAAAATATATTTCCTGTACGTGTGTCTTTAAAAAAAAAAACGACAACCGTGATCAGTGAAAGTTTGGGTTGCTGTGAATGGGAAGTTGTCGGGTGTGCTTTTCAGTTCGTTCCTCCTTCCATTACTTAAAAGTGTCCAAGATGTTTTAAGGTGAGCTACTTCTCCCTGTTTATAGCCGCAAGTCATACCAAGGAGGAGAGTATAAAGACCTCCCCAAAGTGACAAGGTTAAGAAGCGCTTAGCAGTTTTGTGTTCATCCTTAGCTGTTTAGCCAGCTTCAGTTTTCTTTTCTAGAGTGTTTGTAATCATTCTCATTCTTAACAGCGCTGGCGTTGTGTCTCGGATAAATAATGAAATAAGTAAGCGCAGCATTATAGTGTCCCGTGTAAATATTTGCAATATTGAGAACCTAAGGGATGGTGATTGGTTGAGCTTGAATTCTGTCTAGACTGTGGGATGGCAGCTTTGTGTGAGAGAGGGAGTGTGGGTGGTTCTTAACAGCTTCAGTGATCCCTATTCTTGTTAAAAAGGAACTTGTTTTATAATTTTGGTAAAAGTGTAAACCCACTCCCTTCTTCTGGAAGTACTTAGTGATAGTTGTTTAAGGGTGCTCTTTTTTAGGTTTAAGGACTAAAATGGATATACTTCCAGTAATTAAAGTAAATGTCCAACACTTATCTGCTTCCCCCAGCCCACCTCCTTTATCATGTTAAACAGTCTTTTTGCTTTTCTTATTCCTCTCCTGGAGAGCTGTGATTAGAAACCACACCCACCCTTGAATGAAGTGCTTGAACTGGGGGAGGGAGGCTGGCTACCTGTGAACAAACATTGGCCCCAGTGAGGGAAAATAAGTGTCCCTGGACTTTGAACTAGTTTACAGCCAGATATTCTGAAAGCAGGAAGACATTGCTCTTTGCTGTCTCTTGAAAACAAATGAAGCCGTACATACTTCCATAAGCTTTTTAAATAGGATCAGTGTGGTGCTACTGCATGAGAAAAGCTCTTTCCACCCCTCAACTCTATTTTTCTTTTCCTCCTCTTCTGAGAAAGCCTATATATTGATGAGCACACATATGCACACACGCTTGCTTGCTGTTAGGGAATTCTGTTTGCTTTCTAATCTGTTTAACCCTTCACTCTTTCACATATGAAAGCCTATATATTGATGAAAACACACACACACACACATACACACACACGTGTTTCTTTGCTATTAGAAAATTGTGTTTGCTTTCCTAATCTGTTTAATCATTCATTCATGAAGTGTGTGAGGCCATTACCAGGGAAGGAAGTTACAGTGCATAAGCCAACAAAATACCAATGACCAGGATTGAGTGGGGACTAAATTTAGGAAGCTAAAATGGCCAAAGCAATTAAAATTTGAGAAAACCTTCGTAAAGAAAATGACAGGAGTCTAGGCATTTGCGCTTCATTTATACCAAAGTTGGAAAAGTAAAATTTAAGCCTAGGTTAATTCTTACTGCATGGATATTAAGTAGACAAACACATGGTTCCTGTAGGGAATTTAATCACCTTGCTGGTGGGGAGAAACCTAGTATTTTAGTTTTAAGGACTCAAAAGCTGTTCACATTTATAAAAATGCGTTGCTCTTACACAACTCATCCTCTGAATCAAAATTAAAATTTTGATTTTAAAATTAAATTGAGAATTTGACCAGTTCCTCTCCTGTTTTTCAAATAAGGACCTTTTCTGATCACTTTGACCTCTTCCCTCATTTGGTGCATCTTCCCGGAAACTAGAGACATTGTTCTGCTGCCTTCAGTCACTGTGCCTAATTTGGGTTGTCCCCACCTTCCTTTTCTTTGTGGAGGAATCTAGAAATGAGCTCGGTGTATTTAAAAGTTATGGGATGAAGTGGATGAAAATAATTTAATCATTAAAATTTTTTTCATCTTAGTAACAAACCTAAAAAGAACAACTAATTTACTTAAAAAAAAAAAAAAGACAGTTAAAACAGAGGATGCTAAGCCAAGAGGAGGGACTATAGGTAATGCTCTTTGGGGTCTAGTTCCAGACCAGCTTTCAGAGGCCCCTCTTTGTTTTGTCTCTGTTCTCACCCCTGCCTTCCCTCTCTTCCTCATCCCCTAAAAGAGACAAAGATAAAGCCTGCCACTTCCCCAAAGTCTTACTGGTTTCAGCCACCTCATCCCCTACCAGGGGAGAGAAGCTGCGTTTATTTATGGACACCCTATTTCTATCCACATACTTATTTTCCACTGATTTGCATTTTTATTATGAAAACAGATCATACTCATGAAAACAGTTATAAAATGGAAGGTTGTAGGGTATTTCAGCAACTTCTTCCCAGCCAGCTTTGTGGAGTTGGGGAGGACTTCAGGCCCGGTTTAGTCTCAAATACACAGCTTCTGGGCTGTCCCTTTCACAGTTCAATTTTAAGCAGTGTCTCACTCCATAGATTAAGGAATGAGGATTTAGAAAGAAGGTTGTCTAAGGGAACTAATGGGACCTTAATGAACCAGTTGACGGAAGTCTTTCTCATTTATATTTCCCTCCTCACATTTTGAAGTTGTCTAAATTGGCTGGAAGTCATTTTTCTTGGTGCCTTATTGGTTTATCCTTGCAAACTTTTGTCATATTTTCACGTGACCAGGGCCTGTGTGTATGTATTGTGTGTAATTGTGCAAATGTGCAAGCTTAAATAATGTGCCAACAGTACTGTTTCAAAGTTGGTATTCATTAGGCTGTTTCCTCCTGGGCCAGGGCTACACTAATCCTGACACCGCTGGCAGGAGAAAACCTCATGGATCACCCACCGAACCTTAATAACAGCATCCATGACCTCACTCTCCAGTACGGAATGGGAACCCCAGAGCTAGGAAACGTAGTTGTATATTTTAATGAACTGCTAAAGAAGCCTCTTTCATTTTTGTGCTCTACAGAAAGATCAAGGGGAGGAGGGACAAAACTTTGAATAACTGCTTTCTAACACCAAATGTGGCAAATAGGACAGAGAACATCGCAAATCTAGGCAGGTGTGAGGTACGGTGGCTAAGGACTGCCTGCTCTCTCTCTGTGCCGTTTCTGGTCTCCAAAGTCCAATCAAGTGATCCTGGGGAAAAAAGATGCCTGGGTAGGGAGGATGGTTCTGAAAGAAAAGAACTACCAAGACATTAAAGAAGGGTAATGGGTAGGTGGGATGTAAGTAACTAACCTGACTCAAAACTTTCAAAAGCTTCTTGCAGCTTGATGACAATTACAGCATTTATTTCAGCCACGATAATGTCTGTGGTACATCATTTTAAGACAATATTACGTCATGTTGTTACAAACTGTATGTGTAGTGTGTATGTTTTGTGGGTGTGTATATGCATAATATATATTATATATATTTGAGACTTAGAGACTTTTGATACGGGTTTGGTGCAGGTGAATTTATTACTGAGCCAAAAGAGGCACATACCGAGTCAGTAGTTGGAGTCCAGGGCATTCAATACTTTTTATGATTTCCATATATGTACAGTGCCTATCCCATGCAGTATAGTCATGTTAAATCTGGAACTCACAAACCAGAGCCAGCAATATTTTATTTGTAGACAATCAACTTGAATCTATTAATTATTACTGGCAGATGATTATAATTCTGAATCCATAACACTAACAAAAGGAAATGCAGAGCATCTTGATAAGACAGTTTTTTGTTTTGTTCCTGGAAGTCAGTAGAATAGCAGTTGTTTGTGGTTATGTTAGTCTTGAGATACTTAATTGTTGACCTTTTGACCTTTATTATTTCAGAAAAATTTTGTATGTATTATATTTGTGGGAAGGTAAAATAATGGTTGAGATTTTTATCAAATATGGAAATTAGTTATTTATGAAAAACAAAGAAATGTATATTTTTGTTTCTTTGTTCTCAATTAATGTAGATAAATTTAAAAATGCATTAAAGCAATGGTAAATAAAAAGATGCTGTAGAAGTCTTTTTCTCCTCATGTTTTTATGGAGAGACACTGCTTTCTATGAGTATCTGAGGAGATTTGGGGATTTTAACTTAATAACCAGATTTCTCAGATGTACTTTATAAGCAGCAAAATTATTAATAAGTAAAAGCAAGCAAATTCCAATCATCAGAAGCAAAACTAATTAAAACATTTTACTTGAGGGGCCGGCCCGGTGGCGCACTGGATAAGTGCGCCGCTTGGGAAGCGCGGCGGCGCTCCCGCCCGAGGGTCCGGATCCCACATACAGACCGGTTCCCGCTCACTGGCTGAGCGAGGCGCGGGAGCGACCCCAAGGGTTGCGATCCCGTTGCCGGTCCCCGGTCCGGTACGGGGGCAACACTGAGGGTTGTGATCCGTTGCCAGACACGGAAAAAGACAAAAAAAAAAAAAAAAAAAAAAAACATTTTACTTGAATATACTTCCTAGGTTTCTCCTGCTGATCTGTGTTTTGATTGATTATTTACTTGAAGAAATGAAGGGGGGTATGTGGAAGAACAGACACTGCCTGAGATTGTGTTCTATTTTACAAATCCTCCGTCTATACTCTGCTGAACCTATTTGAATAGAGATGGTGCTGTTCTGTGTGTCTTGTTGTGGGGCAGGCACCCTCAAAAGTTTATGATTCAGCAGTTGGATACCCAACTTGGTATTGAGCTCTAAATACACATCAGAGAGCCCAGATGAGAGGCTATAAATTGATTTAAAGTCGTCTGGACAGATGGTTAGTAATTCTGAGATACCGTCTACTGATTGCTGTTTTGACAAAATGTAGATTAGCCACCAATCTACCAAACTGCTTATTTTAATGCGTGGTATGTTAAGGTTCTCCAGCAATGCTCTGAGGCGTGAGTATGTGGGAGAACATGGGTAATTAGGAGCTAAAAATGTTGTTTGGGGGAGACAACACAAAGCCAGTAAGGTGAATAACGATATGAGTAGGTAATTCAATGTCGGTGTGAGAGCTATGAAGTTTAGATTGGTACATTAAGTTAGAGTCGTTGGGAAAGGCAGACTAGAAAACACAGTAGTTGGGCAGGGTCCTGACAGAAGAGAACTCTGCCTTATGTGTATAGGACTCTATAGTGTGGGTACATCTCCATGCTTCCGCATGCCTCATTTTCCTCCAGTGGAAAGGGGGGAAAGGGCAAAGTCACAGCTGGAGCAGAGGGACTGTTGGACTTTAGTCTGCCATGGATGGAATCAGGGTTGGGAGGCAGAATGCTTATGAACATATGAACAGAGACTTGGGAGTCAGACTGATGGGGGATTCAAATCTCAGCACCACCATTTAAGGGCTCTTTGATCCTGGACACAACCTCTTACTCTTTCAGTTTTCTCATCTGTAAAAATGGGTTAATAATAGTACTTATGTCCTAGGGTTCAGAAGACTTAAAGGATTAAATCGGGTTAAGGTAAGTAAAGCAAGGAGGAAGCAGCTGTTCAGGCATGGATTGGAAAAGGAATTGAGAGACTAGGTGTTCAAATTTGAGTCTGCATAAGAATCATTTGGGGTTCCTGTTAAAAATCTAGATTCCCAGGCTTCAGCCCAGGAATTGAAATTCAGTAGCTCTGGGGCCCAAGAAATTTTTTTTTTAAATAAACTATGTAAAATTTTGGAATAACTTTAGATTTACAAATAAAGTTGCAAAGGTAATTGAGTTCCTGTATGCCTTTACCCATCCCCCCCCTAATGTT